TTTAGACAAGAAATGGCAAACCAGTACTAACACAAGAATGGTTCCCTGTCACTGAATATATGATCGGTGAAATAGGGTAGGAGGTTGTGCTTATTTAAGTTACTAAATAAAAGTTTGAGAAAAAAGGCAAGTTGATTTTGACGGATACAATTGCAGGGTCATTGATCCACATAAGGTATTTATCCGACATGGAACTTTTGAACTGGTCACTGTACTTGCTCACGAGAACATGGAGTTTTTATACAATGAATTATTTCAGGATAGCCATGGAGGGGGATGGGAATTACCCACCCAGCGGACGTACCCCGCAGTCGAGGATGTCAGATGGGTGGTTCCATGAGCGATGGAATGGTTACGGAATCAGCCTTGAGAAGGATGCGATTCTGGAACAGGAAACAACGGCCTATCAAGATCTCCTGGTCTTTAAAAGGTAATTTGTTTCATTTGACTGAAGTATTAGTTATACCAGACAAGCACCAGTTTTGTTTTACGCCGCACTCAGCAATATTCCAGCTGTATTGCAGCGGTCTGTAAATAATCGAGTCTGGACCAGACAATCCAGTGATCAACAGCAAGAGCATCGATCTGCGCAATTAGGAACCGATGACATGTGTCAACCAAGTCAGCGAGCCTGACCTCCCGATCCCGTTAGTCGCCCCTTACGACAACCATGGGTTACTAAAGATCAATATTCTAACCCGGACCTTCACGGGTAGATATGCACGAATCGATTGAGGTTCGACAGCAACATGTTTTAGTTGGTTTGTGTGGCCATATGATGTCGACACATTGTGGGGCCCCGTACTACATGTGTACAAAATTGATGATCCCCCTACCTCCCAAAAACAAAATGGGTGACAGCCCCCCTTTAAAATCATCATCACACACCCCCACCCCCCATCCCCAGCCATAAATTATGAACGGTCCCGAACATAAACTTCTTTTTTAAAAAAAGAGGGAGTCATTTGCAGATCTAACTTCTTTATAAAGTATTCAAGCAATGTGTAATGACTTGCATATAATACGCAACACATGTGTGCCATCAATGCAATTAATAGACACCAACGGTTGTCAGTTGACAGCAGTACTCCGCGCAGTTGTAATCGCATTGTAGATTATTCGCTGCGTGGTGCACAGGCGGATCAGAGGTTTGGAGAGGGGTGGGGGAGGAAATCTTATTTTGAGGGGTGTGTATATGGCCCCATTTGTCCTGAAATCTTATTAAATAACCATTGACACGTTCGCGAAATAGAAGTATTTGCACGCCTCCTTTCTCAATAGTGTGTACTAGATAAAATAAGGACAGAAACCCCATCCCGTTTTCCGGAAATAAAAGCTGTATACGTCCATTATTTGTAAAAGCTGTATCCGCCCCTGTGGAGTCTGTCCATTGACCAGAACACATTTTCATGTTGATCATCATCTGGTAAGAACTCGAAAAATCTCATGACACTTTTTATTCGTGAGACGTCAAATCGGATGTACGTGCTCTTTGACATTGGCTGCCCAGTCGCTCACCAATGTCAGTTTATGTACATGGGCAACGAAATCATTTATAAGAAGAATTCTAATTCAACTTAGTATGAAACACGAGTTCTGATTGGTCAATGCTATAAATTTCCGACCGTATAATCAGCATATACGGTCGCAATTTGAAAACCGATTCACCAAAACCTTTAAATGTATCCCTACACTTTTGGGGTAACGCTGCTTTGCAGGACATTGTCATTTGCAGAAGCCATAGGTCAATTAACTGCCCTATCCAGCTAAAATGGGTGGAATTTGTGTTAAAAACGACACAATAGTATCATAAATTTAATTTTAAGTTCAAACAACTTACTCGCAACGGGCTGTTGACCCAACACTGTTAGATCATGAAACAAGATTATGACGTCATTATTGGAGCGTGACGTCACCTGCTGTGACGTCATTTGACAACAGAACTGATAATGGCCCGTAGTTAAGGAATCAGCGGGCCGCTCGTTTCTGTAACTAGAGGGCGATTTCATCATAATTCCTTCCATTTTATCTATAATACTATGATCTATTCATCATTGTCAGATTTAGTCTGTGTGCACATAATAAACGTGTGTAGTTTGAAAAGGGAACTACTTTTTCTGGCGATGGTGTAAGTTCAAGGAGTGATATGATTAACCTTTGACCTAGAGGAACTTTGACCTGGTTTAAATAATGAATTTCTTTCACGAAAAAACAGCGTAAAACGAGTTGAATTAGAATGGGGATAACTGTACTGTGTTTGACGAATTGGGGACGTATACCGGTGGTTATATAGCCGCAAATTTAACGTTACATCGGCTCCGCTTAATAACGTTAAAACCACCGGTATACGACCCCAATTCGTCAAACACAGTACAGTTATCCCCTAAATAGCCTTCAAGTGTGGTTCTCGTGAAGGATCTAACCCGGCTAGTTATAAGCTAGTTGAAACTTCTGCCTCGGAAGAATGGATCCTGGGGGATCAAACCAGCGGCTTCGACGTGATCGGACACTTGCACCACTGTCCTACCAACCCCTCAATCTTATTTTAAGTTACAGTAACCAATTACATGAAACATGCGTTTTTCACACATGCCACTCGTGTGGTATCGAACCCGGGTACTCGATGTGACTGGGCACCTGAACCACTGGGCTACCATGTCACATGTTGTGCTACCTATAACAGTGAAATTAGTTCACACATACAGATGGCGTCAACACAAGGTTCTTGAATGACCACCCCTTCCTGGTATATCTCATCCTGGTTCCCGGGCCTCTCATTAGTTTATATAGAGAGGCCGGGAACCAGGATGGGTATATCTTACCTAAAGCAACGCTGTCAAAACCAAGTGATATACAGAATTCAAATAATGTAAATGTCATAATCAAATATAAAATTAAATCTGGGAAGCAAATACAAGAAATATACCGAAAAGAAAGATTACATTGCTATATATTCACTGATTAATCATAAAAAAAACAACTTCCACAGATGATCTTGGCTCAGATCAAAAGAACTCTTCTAGGAAATGTTGCTAAATGAAATTGCACCACAATGCATAAAGAACATTGTGACGTCATTGTCAATATGACGTCAAAGGCAAATGGTTTATAGAGAATACTACACTCGGTCTCATTACATACGAATTATACGAAACGAGTGTCCTTCCAATGGTATCTGACCGAGCGAAAGCGAGGTCAGATAACATAGGAAGGTCACGAGTTTCATGCATTAAATTGACAAAATAGCGTATTTTTGTTATGTTTTTGGTTTCAAACCGAAACCGGTTTCATAAAGAGGTTGCGGAAGAGTTTTGTACTGTACAATATTTGCATGACGTCACACTGTAATGACGTCACTGCCTTGGTTACCGACGTCACGATGCATGTCAGTTGTCATCGCCTCGTACAGCCTCCTACAGTAAACTACTCCGTAGCACCTCGTTTCTTGGTTTCCAGTTGCTTCATTCGGCTAACATCACTGGTGGAAACATTGCGTTTATGTTTTTCGACGGATATTATGTCTCAGTTCGACTCACAATTAAACAGCGACACGGCAACGTTCGCAATGTTTACATTCCCACAATGCATTTAAGTTGTAGAATGAATGAATTCACGTGTTTGTTATGAATGAAAAAATAGTTACGTCAGATTGTAAACCAAAAGCCACTGTGTTCTTTAATCTGATTGGTTGAAAAACGTGATCAAATGGTATTAGATTCCAGGAAATTCGCTGCGTATTAATACATACAAACATCGCTCACACCATTGTATTGTTACGTCGTCAGCTGTGATGACGTCATTCAAATCATATTGTGACGTAAAGTCCGAATGACGTCACAAATGAGCAGTTCCAGATGCTACCATGGGAGACAGCCGAAACGGCCGGCTGATGACATTTCACTGCTGTACCCGTACTCGATGTCAATGAGTGCAGACACAAAAACGTGTGTAGACCTTCTGGTTTACTTTTGTGTTTACAATGTCGATAAACATCATGTGTTGGCCAATTTCCGGGTGTTATTGAGTATTTGAAGCACGGGAATATTTCATTTGAAACCTCCGGCTGACGCCGTCGGTTCCAAATGAATTCCCGTGCTTCAAATACTCAATAACACCCGGAAATTGGCCAACACATGATGTTTATCTCCTAAATGTGACCTAATTGAGAGGTCATCGGTTATCCAATCAAATCGTTAGAATCTCAGGTCAAGTCGTTACAACACAGGTCAACGCGATACGACACTCGTGTGACGTACGAGATTAGAATGCAACTACCAATACGTTGACCTCGTGGGTAATAACACTATCTACCAGTGAAGCTGATTTTCTGTACTTTTTGCACCCTAGACGCTGGTTATTAGAGTAATTAGAAATTGAAAAAAGTTGGATGAATAATATTGGAGGATCATGACTTTGATATTAAACAAATCAAAACTTGTTGATAAAAATTTTGAAGTCGTTATTAAATTTTCCATCGACTGATGATCATATATACAAATAGGAAACATTCGAATGGGATTTTCTATATATTCGTTACATGGGAAGTTGAAAAATAGTAAAAATGAAAGATGTGCCATATATGCTACGCCAAATTAATTACGAGAAAAAATTAAAGTCTTATTCATTTAGATGTTAGTATCAATTGTTACGTGTAATTGCGATACGTAATTTTGTGTGTTGAGAATTAATAATAATGTTACTAATGACACAATAAATGTACAAATATACATGGAAAAATATATAAGGTATGTTTTTGTCCATATATATATCAAAGGAGATCGATTTTAATCGAATACGTTATGCACTCCAGTTCCCTTCACCATGTATATTTAGTTTATAGCAATAGCTTTCAGAAATGTTAGTGTTTGGTAAATGCTTATTTTACAAGTTCAGCTGTAATACAATTTTTCACGTCCAGGCGATAAAATCATTCCTTGTCTTGTGAAACACCAACCGGATGGCCGGTTGACCTAAAGGGAAGTAATTCTAACGGAAATCACCTTGTTGCCAAAATTAGCGCGCACGTGTTGATATCGCAGAATACCTTGGGAAGGCCGAGCTGAACGTCATAGGATTCTGCGGTTAGCTCGAGAGAACGATTCGCCTGGCATTTCACAAGTACGTTTTGTCATCAGTAGGGAAATCCAGGCCAACTGCCTGACAAAAACTCATTTTACATAGCTGACATTTTGTGCATATATTTTCCGGCTCTCATTTTCCCGTGTACCGAAGAAGCATTATTTCACCGACTGATCACGGACTACGCATCATGGCAACAGAAGCTCTTGTCAAGGGAAGCTGGTTTCGAGAGGTTAATGAAATGTGGTCTGGATATGCAGTCTCGTTAGAAGTGGAGGAGGTCTTAGTCCACGAGAAATCAGACTTCCAAGACATTCTTGTTTTCAAAAGGTATTTCAACCGATTTACATAGCAACAATGCTTATTTCTTCCTGGCTGTTCCGTTCACCTCCCTGTTAATGTCCCCAATTGTAGCGAGGTCAGTCTAACTTTGTCGACTGCCTCTCCCTCTATACCGCTATGGCTGTAATATAAATGTGGTTGTTTTTAGAAAATAATCGGGATCACAACGACACACAGTAACTGTAATTATTTGGGTCATATGGAAAACTACATTGTCACACAATGTTTTGTTTTTTTCTTTTACAAATACAAGATGAGATTTTTTGTTGGTAACCATGGTATTTTTATGTTTATCTTTGTCCATGGCTTAAATGCAAAGCTTAAATATAACGTTAGGCTAACGCTTAGTCTCTGGATATATATAATTTTGATAGAAACAAACAATTTCTTTTAAATTGAAAAGAGCACCGAGTGAGATTCAGAACCTTAAAATAGGAAAATCGAGACTTGCTTCATTTAGGGCTATATAGCATTTCATAAGGGAAAAGATTGTGGTTCAGGGACTTTGAGACAGACATGCTTGCACTTGCTGAGTCATGTGTAAACAATTTCGTTCTTATAGTGGAGTGATTTGTGAAAGGCTTAAACACTGTCATTAAAGTGTTGTTTGAGTTTGTTTATTGTTAAACGCTGCACTCAGCAATATTCCAGCTACATGGCAACGGATTGTAAGTTGAAATATCAAGTGTTGACAAAAATTGTCAAAACTGCTTTTGATGTATGAACCTGGATATGGTCATTAGCATGAAATTGTATAGCAGTTGTATAGATGGATGTTCACTGTGAACATCAATGTTTTGTCGTAAGAGCTGAGTATTGATCGGGTCAGGCTTGCTGTCCAGATTTTTTATGATCAGGAGTACATACTCCTTATTTTTTCAATATAGGGGTACTGGAAAACAATAAGAGTACATTTAGAGTACTGAATGGAATTTAATGGAGTATCAGTAATCTTGTGTTTTCGTTTCATATATGCACCACAACATTGCTACTCTTGTGTAAACAGGTTAATAAACAATAAAACAATACTTTTTCAGATAAATATGTCTGTAAATGATTGTAAGACCGTACACCATTGCTGTGGTGCGTACCTGCTACATTTTCTAAATTATTTCCTACCACATAGTGCATATTTTTTATCTGTACATAAGCCGATAAGCCTTATCTGGAGCCCTGTTGGTGCAAGTCTTCATGTCCCATAGGTGTAGATTGATGCTTATGATGTTAATCATAAGGCCTTCTTGCCCATTATTCACAAATCACTGTCATATAGCTGGAATATTGAAGGGTCTGGTGTTAAAGAAACCACAGTCTCGGGATTATCTGGTCTTAATTTATTGTATGCAGATTTACTGTTATATAGATGGAATGTTGCTGGCAGCAGGAAACACAATTGTGACAGAACTTGGATAAACCATTGTGTTTTCATTGGTGACAAGTGCCTCCACACTTGGTCACACAATCACTAGATTATCTGGTTCTTATTTGATTGTATACAGACTGCTGGAATATTGTTGGAATAGTGCTGGGTGTGACTTAAAGGAAAACCCAGTCACTGGATTATCTGGTCCTTATTTGGTTGTTCATAGAACAGTGTCATAAAGCGGGAATATCTCTGGAATATAGGGAAGGTTGTTTTTTTTTTCAAAACTCCCAACATTATGTTTGTATAGTATAGTATGTGTTATATCCTGTTCCCTTCTTTCATGTAAAAGTAATTAGTTTCGGCCAGGCAATTTTTATCTCTTGTTTTACGGATCTGCTGGTCGTATTTTTTCTGGAATAAGAAAAAAAATAAAAATTAATTTTTCTCGCTCACAAAATAAAATTCTAACATTTTATTGGTTAAAAATGTAAACTTACACGGAAATCTTTTTAGATTGTTTTTTGCCCCATATACACTTCATAAATTGCCAAAAGTAAAATACTTTTAGTATTTAAAAGGACTTACTTCGACTGGTGATTTTTATGTTCCCTCCTGCCTTAAGGTTTTCTGAGGACAAAAATCCATAAAACAAGAAATAAAATTGGTCTGGCCTTAACATCAAACAAAATTGTATGCATGTTCAAGGCTCTGTTATCTGTGTATGCATGGTTAGGAACCATACTGTTTATTGATATAGTACCCTATAAAATTGTTCTGATCTGTTTACTGTGAATCGGACCATGACATCGGTGATTGACACATATGCCACAAATACATTTCATGTGAATCATCAGCCACTTACCGGTACTTGTTAGAACGGGGTGATGGGGTAGGCTAGTAGTTAAAGTGTTAGCTTGCAGCACTGAAGACCCAGGTTTGATTTCCCCACATGGGTACAAAGTGTGAAGCCTGTCGTGTTATTGCTGGAATATTGCTAAAAGCAGCTTACCACTAAACTCACTCACTTACTCACTTGGTAGTAGATATATAGAGAATCTATTGATATGAAATATATCACCACGAGTTGATAAAGTTACAAATATAGGACGCTTGCCGAGGATATTTTGTCTTTTATCAACAAGTGTTGATATATTTGATATCAGAAGACCTGAGGGTGATATTCTATTATCATCAAAAATCACACTTCTTTAGTTTTCAATAAAGTATGTACATCTCTGAACACGGTTCTGCTATGAGACTTGCAGTGCAGCGATGTCATAGCATTGTGACATCATCAGGTTCATGATGTCATATCAATGTCAGGGCATTGTACAAAATCTGTCAAAACGATATCTCCTAGGAGATAGGAGATATCGTTTGATTTCACACAAGCGATATCTCCTGTGTGAAAACACAGTTTTGGATGATAAAGGCTACAAAGAGTTCTGATTATCTTTGAAATAATTTCCCAAATAGAATGTTTGGCGAAAGTGTACAATTAATGGAATATCCTCAAGAATGTCATATCGTAAAAATATAGTGGTCGGAGAGTTGGAACGGAGAGTCACTCAGACATTTTTACATAGTGTTTCCTTCTCAAACATGAAGCTCAAACACCACGATATGTGAGGTACTTTCTATTGAATGTAACATTAAACAAAACCACTCCCTCCCCATTAGTGGTATAACGGTTCATTTTTCATATCGTCAACTACGCGATACGAGTGCATCGATACAAAACACATTTAGGCAATATATCAGGATATATATATCGCGAGGGTCCATGATACATCGATGTATCGCCACAAAAGACGATATATCCTGATATAACTTAAATACTACTTAAAGTTGTAAGGAGTATTGCGTAAGGAATAGGAAAGGACACTCTTTGAAATTCTTCTGAATTTTAAAAACAAATTGAACTTTAAAGGAATTTGTTTGTGTCTGTTATCTTTCTTACATGAACAAAGGAGTTGGTGTAGAAGTGAAAGAGTGAACATTTTGCAAACTCTGTGACTTGTAGAATACTTGTGTTCAAGTAATTGAAATATGCAAATATGTGTTAGTTGTTTGACAAATAACACCCATTTATTAACAACTATGAACGATGTCTAGCTTTGTTAAGAAAGAGAACAAAGAGAAGATAAAATCTAGAAAGCAGACTTAGGAGTTTTTTCCGTGATTCTGAATTACGATATATATTACATTGAGTTGTTTGTGAAAGCATTGGTGTAGAAACACAACTTCCCAAGGGAAACTTCACTTTCAAATTCATATATATTAGATCAAGGTATACTGGATATGTTTGTCTGTACTTTCTTAAGCATTGAATGCTGAAACTTTATCAGATGAACAGCTTTTTAAGTGTGTGTGAATATAACACAAGTTCTGCTGTATAACATAAAGTTCAACTATTTTATCTACCATATCTGTTCCGTTATTAGAAATTGTAAAGTATTAGGATCGCCACCATTGTATCGTGATGATAATCGTCTCGCAGGTTCCTGGCCAATACTTTCATCATATATCGTCTCGACTCATTAAACTGGTATCAGGATGTATAGTCTCGGCCACGATACACAGCTCTACTCCCCATCAGTGTTTGCCCTGAACCCTGAAAAGCTGCAGGCCCTAAGGACCCAGAACCATAAAACTTATGGGTCCAGGGTCTCCTTTCACAAAGCAACCTTTACTAAGGTTAACTCCCATTCTTTAACATTACACTAAGGTTACCTTAGTGACTTCCGATCACCTTAGTGCTTTGTGAAAGGAGGCCCTGGTCAGAATGTGTCGGCCCTATATTTTAATATGGAAATTATACTCTAAGTTATTGTGAATGAAAAAGCTGTCGACAATAAGGACCTGCAGAAAACAAAAAACTGTAGGTCCGAGTGGTTTTCAGTCGGCTTCGGGTCTAAGGACCGACGTTAATTTCGAACGCTGCTCCCCATTGAGGGATCATGTGTCCCAGAAACCCAATTAACCCTCCTTGGCTTGACAACGATACAAGAATCTGTATCGAAACGTCACATCACTCGAATAAAGAAGTTGTTCATCCATAAAGTTTGTCGTTAACAGTTAACCCTCGTTAGATAGCATAGCATATGCTTATAAACAACCCTTGTCATCCAAACCAGGCAATGCCAAACTGTCATCACTAACATCGGATTGACAGATAAACACCAGGTAAAACTAAACATTGTCGAAAAAATGTGCAAAAACTTCACGTACAGAAACCTTTGAAAGATCTGAAATATGCTTAGTCAAGGTATATACTAGTAACTGCTAAACATCTCGCAATACTGCGGGCTTTATTTAATATAGCCAGTCATCACCAGTGAAGGTAAATTAATACTCTTATTGGCAGGGGGCCACCTTGGCAGGTATCATTTTCCACCTGCGTTGAAACAGTTTGGTATACATTTCCAGCGTAATCTGTCTTGTGTATCAGATGTTCTGTTACAATTAAGGACCCTTAAAAAAGTCTCTTTCTTCATGCTTATTAGCCACACACTGTACACAATCTTGTGGCATTTCAATTTTCATGTAGAATTGATGTAAGGCCAGGTCTCACTGTGTAATACATCACTTGTAGCGGTAAACATGTTGATTTTGCTATGCA